GATCGTCGCGATAAGGCGGTTTTGATGAGTCACGAACGCTCACAGAGCTAAAAAACAATATCGAAATATTCGAGAAAATAAAAGAAGGTATTGGACAAGGGATGCGAGATAGAAAGGGAGGACAAAGAAACGTGGCAACGGCGCGCGTTAATTCGTCACCAACGGTAAAAAGAGATGGTTGTTACGGATGTGGCTCGATAGAACATAGGTTTCGTGCATGCCCAGATAGAAACAAGGGACGCAAATGTTTTAAATGTAATGACTACGGACACATAGCACCTTATTGTAATAAGTCGAGTCAACCAGCGGAAAATGTAACGAGCGTCAATTATCTCCACACTTTTACGGATAGAATTGCGATTAAAATAAACGGTTTATTTGTATATGCGTTATTAGATACGGGAAGCGAAATAAACTTAATCAATTCAGAGATATATAATAAGATAGGGAAACCAGCGTTATGTGAAACCGCTAGACGATTTACAGGATTAGGTAACGCGATAACAAAGCCGATAGGGAAATTTGAAGCAAATATCGATATCGAAGGCGATAAGTATGCGACGGATGTATTTGTAGTGGGCCAGAGAGTATCGGGTATAATCAAGCCGAAGATAAACAATGTAAAATAAATAGTTGAATATCGATAGCGAGAACGTCACACAAAGAAGTAGATTAAAGAAGGGAAACCAAGAGGCAGTCATCGTTTAGTAGCCGAGCAAAGAAGGCGTGTTTTTCATCACTCTGTATCTTTACTTCTTTATATTAAATATATTGCATATCCGTGAAGAGAGGTTTTTCTTTCTACATCAACCTATTAATAACACCGCGGAATTCTTTCCTTTTTACTCGTTAGATATCCTTTAGGAAGACTAACAGGAGAAGGGGAATCCCACACATATATATACCTACACATATAAAAAAAGAAAACGTAAAAACGTCGAGTGATGTGTCCCCCTTCGGATTTGTGTTGATGTTGTCTCTACTACATGTGATAAAGCACTTATGCGTAAAATACTTTTATTTTTGTATAACCTTCGTTTTACAATTAGACTAAATTAATATACATATGCAAGCTATTTTTTTGGCGCTTTTGGTACTTTCATGAAACTGCAATACACACTTTTCCTTGCATTGTTTTACCGTAAAGATTTCGTACAACGAAAAATTTCATCTGTTTATTGTAACAAACAAAATAATTGTTTTTCTTTTGATAACAAGTTAAATCACTTTATAATGATTATCGTATAAGAAAATAAAAAGAAGTTTTTTGAAATCATTTGATATTATAATTAATTATTGTATACTTTTCGAAATATACGAAGAGACAGACGAGTTTAGATTAAAGACGGCTATTCTTTTTGAAATCGGTACTTTGTACAAGTATAGGAAAGGGTTTGAATTTCATGAGAATACTTGCATTTAGGTATGACACATTCTCTCTCTCTTTTTCTCTCTTTTTCTCTCTTTTTCTTTTTGCTTTATTGTTATTTTTTCTTTTTTTTTCTTCTTTCATTCCTTCTATCTTTCTTTCCCCTTTCTCACTCGTTCGAATTTCTTTCCTTTTACATAAGGAATAGTATGTATGTTTAATGTAAATGTTTAATGTAATTTAATGTAAATTTCCTTTTACATAAGCATACATGCATAAAAAAACTTACATACATACATATGTAAATCGGTGTATATAATTAAATTTTCAACTTATTTAATACTATGCAATATTTAAATACTATTTGATTGCGTGACTAGGAAGAATCGTGGTCGATGAAATAACATACACGTTGGTTGGTTGATTTCCCCAAACGACGACTTCATTTTTTTCTTACTTGTTGTATGTTATGTTGCTGTTGGTTGTGCTGTTGGTGTGTGTGTTGCGTCGCAGCCGCTTATCATTTAATATATATGTCTATGCTTCTGTTGACGATGAAAAATGATTGATTAATTTTCTTCTTACACGTACATACTGTACGAAGAATATTATTATTTTTATGTTATTCTTATTATTATTTATTTAAAATAATGAGATTTACGTGGACAACGTGAACATATATATATATATATCAGTGGTTTCCAAACTTTTTTGTCCTATCGCGCCCTTTTTTGACAAAATATTGCTTATCGCCCCCTTCCCCCTTCGAAATACTTTGATGACCTTTTTTTTAACCTTTTTTTAATGCACACCCGCACCAATCGCCCCCCTGAACCGCTTTGAACCGCTTTATCGCCCACCAAACCCACCAGGCGCGGAGATAAGAAACAAAGAAGCCTAAATAAGGGAATTTTTTTCTAATATTTTATTATTATTGACATAGTATTGATATACCGGCATTGTTGTGTAGCGTAGTATAGCAGCGCGGGTCGGCCTCCGCTGACATTTTTCTTTTTTAGTAGTTCATTTCCCCCACCCTCAAAGTTCACCTGTGGTCGTCATCGCCCTTCTGGACCGCTTCATCGTCCACCAGGGGCGAAACCACCACTTTGGGAACCACTGATATATATCAACGTATCATTGAATTATTCTTCATACATTTTTACGTATGGATCGATTTTTCAAGTGAATAACGAATCGTATAGTTTAGTCTTTTTTCTTTTTTTTTTCATTATTATCAAGTTCAACTATCTCGATTGTTGATTCGGAGTTAAAAAAAAAAGAGGAAAAATTTGACCACGATTACGATCTAGAAAATTTTACGTCCATCGTCGTACATAATCGATCATCGTCGTTGGCATATTATTGTAGTAGTTACGTTTATTTATTTAATTATTCTTTTCTTTGATTTTTTTTTTTGCGAATTATTGCACGAGTCTCTAAACGAAAAGATCTCATTTTTGTCCTCGACAAATAATTGATAATTGACAAGAAATTGACGAAAGTTTTCTTTGTCTATTTTTTTGTTGTATTGATCGATCACGTGAATTTTTCGTAGGGATAGATATATGCATCTTTCGTTTGTCCTGCTTGTTGTTATCAGTATAATAATACGTAGAACACAAATTTTTGTTTATTGGTTGGAACAAATCGAAAAATAGAAACCGGAACTGCGTTGAAACAGCTTAATTTTCTTTGTTTTTCTTTTTTCTTCAAGGAAATATGATCATAATAAGTGTATTTTATGCAAATAATTGAGATTAAAGTAAAAAGGTTATACGTATTTACGTATATAAACAGAGGGCGAGATAAAAGTCGCTTTCATTGAAATAATTCTAAATAGATTATTTATTTTTTTTTGCATTTTTCTATACTTTTATTCGATTTCATGCAATATGCTCTCGATACAAAAAAAGAAGAAAAACGTTTAACAAGAGTACCGTTGTTATAATCACCACGTATCATTGCATTAACATAAACGAATCTCTGAGGAAAGCAACTTTTATCTTATTCCGTATATCTTATATTTTTTACATTCTTACCCCTTTCAATAATAAATAATACTTACACTTAACAGATACAAAAAAGTTTAAAAGAGACGAAATTAAAAATATTGTGCGTTCGAACGAACCTGTCTTTCGAACATACCGTCAAAATGAACAACAAAATAATTTACCAACTTTCAAGGAGTTTTTTTTTTTACAAATGGGAATCTCATAGAACATTTCAGATAGGTGCATAAGATGATAAGATATCGCTATCGTTTGTTGTTGGAGAAATACGAAGGAATAGTTTTTTTATAACGATGAATTCAAACGCATTTTTTTATCGGGGTTGCGTACAAGAAACACATTCGCGCGTTTAATTAAATTGTAGTAGCTCTGAATTCATTCTTAAAACAAGATGGACATAGTCAATGTTCCTTCTTCCCTTTTCTATTTCCTTTTCTTTTTTAAACTGAAATTATTTTTGCAAAAGCACGATTAAAAGAAGATTGAGATTTTTTTTTAATATATATTTTTCGTTTTGTATTATCCAGAAAGTCTCAATCCCTTTCTTTTTTTTCCTTTTTTACAAAATGTATCAACTTTCTTTATCTCTAATAGATATTTTAAAAAAAAAAAAAAAAAACAATTAAAAAATAAATGATACGAAAAAAATTAAATTGTTAAAAATAAAAAATATCAAATATAATACTCACGAGTCGTAATTTCTTTTTCATTTTTAAATTACTTATAATCGAATTTGACTCATCGTCGAACCTTTCGTTTAGGTGCGTTTGTTGAAATTCGTTAAATTGTTATTAACAATAATAATTTAATAAAATAACAATTAATTTTATCTTTTTTAAAAAGATAAAAGCGGGACGAAATTTGAATAGAGTGTTTTCTTTCTTTCTTCAAAAATATTTGTTTCGCGTGATTGCGCGAACTTTTTGGTTTTCTTTCTTCATTTTCCTCGTTAATTCACGCGCATGGCTTAAGGGAAGATGTTGTATGCATGTATGTATGTATGTATGTATGTATGTATGTATGTATGTATGTATGTATGTATGTATGTATGTATGTATGTATGTATGTATGTA